AATACCACCTGTACCCTGGGTGAGTGTGTCAGACTCAATAGGAAGGCCTAATGCCACTGTACCATGGGTGAGTGTGTCAGACTCAATAGGAAGGCCAATGCCACTGTACCCTGGTTGAGTGTGTCAAACTCAATGGAGAGGCCAAAGCCATTGTACCCTGGGTGAGTGTGTGTCAAACTCAATTGGGAGGCCAATGGCACTGTACCCTGGGTGAGTGTGTCAAACTCAATAGGAAGGCCAATACCACTGTACCCTGTGTGAGTGTGTCAAACTCAATGGAGAGGCCAAAGCCATTGTACCCTGGGTGAGTGTGTGTCAAACTCAATTGGGAGGCCAATGGCACTGTACCCTGGGTGAGTGTGTCAAACTCAATAGGAAGGCCAATACCACTGTACCCTGGGTGAGTGTGTCAAACTCAATAGGAAGGCCAATACCACTGTACCCTGTGTGAGTGTGTCAAACTCAATGGAGAGGCCAAAGCCATTGTACCCTGGGTGAGTGTGTGTCAAACTCAATTGGGAGGCCAATGGCACTGTACCCTGGGTGAGTGTGTCAAACTCAATAGGAAGGCCAATACCACTGTACCATGTGTGAGTGTGTCAAACTCAATAGGAAGGTCAATGCCACTGTACCCTGGGTGAATGTGACAGACTCAATGGAGAAGCCAAAGCCATTGTATCCTGGTTGAGTGTGTCAAACTCAATTGGGAGGCCAATGCCACTGCATGTACCCTGGGTGAGTGTGTCAAACTCAATTGGGAGGCCAATGCCACTGCATGTACCCTGGGTGAGTGTGTCAAACTCAATAGGAAGGCCAATACCACTGTACCCTGGGTGAGTGTGACAGACTCAATGGAAAGGCCAGACAGTCAGACACAATAGGGAGGCCAATAACACTGTACCATGTATGAGTGTGTCAAACTCAATAGGAAGGCCAATGCCACTGTACCCTGGGTGAATGTGACAGACTCAATGGAGAGGCCAATGCCATTGTATCCTGGGTGAGTGTGTCAAAGTCAATTGGGAGGCCAATGCCACTGCATGTACCCTGGGTGAGTGTGTCAAACTCAATAGGAAGGCCAATACCACTGTACCCTGGGTGAGTGTGACAGACTCAATGGAGAGGCCAAAGCCATTGTATCCTGGGTGAGTGTGTCAAACTCAATTGGAAGGCCAATACCACTGTACCCTGGGTGAGTGTGACAGACTCAATGGAGAGGCCAAAGCCATTGTACCCTGGGTGAGTGTGTCAAACTCAATAGGAAGGCCAGTGCTACTGTACCCTGGGTGAGTGTGTCAAACTCAATAGAAAGGCCAATACCACTGTACCCTGTGTGAGTGTGACAGATTCAATGGAGAGGCCAAAGCCACTGTACCCTGGGTGAGTGTGTCAAAC